ACTTAAACTTTATGTTATCGTATTAAAGATTGATCATTAAGTATTATTACGAATCTTTTGTACGGGAATATAGAAAAGTGTTGTTTGTTGAGCCGTGATAGCTCAGTGTCCGGGCGCTCGCCTTTAATTCAATATACTCGAGCAACCCGAGTTCGATCCCCGGTGCCTGCACCAATGAAGTTTTTAACTTTAAGTGCTGACTTATCACGTGCTCCGCGGTGAAGGAAAACATCGTGAGGAAACCTGCATATTTTCGAAATAATAATAAAATAAATGCATATATGTTTCGAAGATATGTGAAGTCCGCCAATCTGCAGTGGGGCCGCGTGGTGGACTATGCCCTGATACCCTCTGTGTAGAGGAGGCCTTTGCCCAGCAGTGGGACATGTATAGGCTGTTACTTTACTTTGTTTTTAGATATTTCAGGCAATTTTTTGAAATTTTTCTCTCCGTAAGAACCACCCTCGTACTTCAAGGTATATAATATACCTTATAAAAAAAGAATACGCGAAATCGGTTCAGTTGTTCTCGAGATTTGCGCTTAGCAACACATTCAGTGATTCATTTTTATATATAAAGATATATAGCTCCAGTATATTAAATTAAAGGCGAGCGCCCGGCCATTGGGCTATCACGGCTTCAGTATGGACATGCGTCATCTTTATTAAAAGATAATAAACTCTACGTCATTTAATATATAAGTTTAGACTACAAAGTTGTTATTAAGGCTTTGTATGTCGTGAATATACCTAAAAAGGTATATCGGTGTCTGGGGAAGCTGAGGACGGGTAATCGCCCTTTCATTTGTTATCTATTAGTGGTGAGCCGAGGGATGTTATCGTGGAAGGCTTTCAAAAAATGCACACATATAAACTACTAAAATTAAACTATAACTTTCAATAATAAAAGCGGAATATTTCGTGATTCGTGTCGTGAACAGAAAAAAATGTTCTAACCATCCATCTAGTAGTCTCCGAAGTTCACCGTGTGAAAATGAAAGAGTACTGAAAATGAACGCTCCGATGCCGCGTTTTTGGTTAACGTGTTCGAGTTACTCATAATGTATATATATATATATATATATATATATATATATATATATATATATATATATAATCCCTATTTCCCTTAGTCACGCCATCACGCGTGAACGGCTGGACCGATTTCACTAATTCTTTTTTTATAATATTCCTTGAAGTAGGAAGATGGTTCTTACGGAGAGAAAAATTTAAAAAAGATTCGTAATAATACTTAAATCAATTTGAGCTGTAATACCATACCATAAAGTTTAAGTGTTAGTGGAGGGGATTCGGGAGGGCAAAAAAGTGAGTGACTGTGAAATGTCACTTGAAATGTAAAGGTCTCTTTGCTGTACAGCAGTACATAGTATAAAACAAAGTCGTCCCGATGTCTGTCTGTCCCTATGTACGCTTAGATCTTTAATTAAAAAAAAAATTGTAGTTATATGAACAAAAACTTTCAGCGCTGCGGGAAATTGTAAGAGCAATGGCGACATCTCTCGTTCGAAATGGTCATCGTTGAATGTTCTTCGTATTATATACGGTGTTCTAATGTTGTATGCTATAAAGGATGTACACTCGATGGCGCCAAGCATAAAGATGCTATTATAGATGTCGAAGTTTTCGCGTCGTGAGGTAGGCTGTTTAGATTAATTGGTAAAGCGTCTGGGCATGAAACCAGAGGATGCAGGTTCGCATCAGGCAGCGCCGAAAATTTATGTTTCTTTTATCTACAAAAAAAAATTAAATTTATACTTATAATAGATGAAATTAATAGTTATAAATTCCTTACTTCAATTGACACATATAACGCATAAAGTCAAAAAAATATTTTTCATCGCTGATAATGGTTTCATTGCAATTTATTTATTTATTATGCATATTTTTGCCTGAATTTCACTTCAAAAGGTTATTTCAGGTTATTTTTTCTATTTAGAACATGTTTTGACAACAATAGCCTAATAAGATGTGAGATTACGATTAACATATTTTTTCTGCTTGAAAATGTATAAATTTTGCTAAAAAGTCCTTTGAAAAACCTAGTTTAATACATACGCCGCTTTAATCTAATTGATTTCCATTATCTATAAGACACATTTGCAAGGTCCTAAAGTTGGAACAATGAATTTAATAGGTGAAATTAGGTCGAAAAAAGTGGACCACGATTGTGTTGGTAATAAAACACTGTTTAAATGTGCCAGGTCAAGAACTTTTAACTTTAATAGGTCGCTGTCATAACCAAGCTTTATAGTCCAATATAGCCATCGGACTATCTAGAGGCATATTATTCAAGAATCTTTTGTGTCTATTATTTTAGAGTACAAATATATGTACGTAAAAGACATGAAAAGATGGCTTACGATTTTGATGACAGGAATTAAAGATACGGCATTTTAATTTTAATACGCTTATATAAGTTGAATGTAAAAGTAAAAAGTAACGGTCTATACAAGTCCCACTTCTGGGCAAAGGCCATGCTCTATACACAGGGCATTAGGGATTATATTAGGACCTTAGGACTATATTATCTTTGAAATATTTATTTTATTATGTGTGGTTCGATACCCACTACTGGAAAAATATTGTATGATGAACATCGTGTTTTTCTAGTGTCTGAGTATTTATATATGTATAATATGCATGTTTATCAGTTTTTTAGTACCCATAGTACAAGCGTTGCTTAGTTTGGGACTAGTAAAAGTTGTGTAAAAATGTGTCCTAAAATATTTATTTATTTATTATGATTTCGAAAATATGCAGAAACCCTCACGATCTTTTCGTTCCCCACTGAGCAAAAGATAATTAAGCACTTAAAATTACCAATGTCATTGTTACCAAAATTTGCCGCATTATTTAAAGAAATGTATATAAACAGGGCCGGATTTAGGGGAAGGCAACCGCTCTACAATTTCCAATAAAAAGCATTATGTACTTTTCGGTTCATGGCGATGCTCTAGAAGACATTTATTTAGAACTACATTAAGAAACCATTATTGGGTGGGAAAATTGTGTTTTCCCACGGCCTACCGCGTGAAAACTCTATTTTTTCAAATAACACCACTCCGCGCTACGTATAAGGCAGCGAAAAATCGTACATCTGTATGTGAGTGATTTGAAAGATTTTGTTTTAATGTGAGAAGGTGGCAAGTAAGCTGGCAGTACACTTGGTGGTAAGCGATAACCGCCGCCCATGAACATTCACAACACCCGTAGGCCCGCAGGGTTGTAGATGCGGTGGTAACTTATAATAAAATGGGCCCTGACTACCTCACTCACCAGACGAAACGCAAAAGTGTTACACTTCCATTACACGCCGGTCTTCTGTGAGGTTAAGGTCATTCTCTGAACGGACCTGCCAATTCGTGCAACAGCGAAGACTTAAGTTTTTTACTATCGTGTGTCTTCACTATAATATCAAGTTAATATATAATATCAATTAGGTGGTCATAATTTTAATTATATTGTTATCAAAATTCTGGTTAGAAAACCGTATTAATAGGTAGAGCTATATATACATTGTAGACTAAAATGTTTGAAGATGATTCTATTTTACAAAATAACGTATTTTATTTTACAAACCCGAATGGCGTAGTGAGTAGTGTCCTCACTATTGGATAATATTGTGTGCTGAACATAGTGTGTGGTGTCTGTGTGTTAATATATGTATAATATGTATTTATTTACAAAAGAAATGAATGTATGTTTGTGTGACGAATGTATGTTTATCAGTTATTTAGTACCCATAGTACAAGCGTTGCTTAACGTACTTTTAACTTGTATACGTATAAATGTATAATGGTGCCCTGTAAATAACACGATTAACTTAAGGTGAAGATAGGTTAACGAGCCCCCTAGCAGAAAAATGACCTTAATAGAAGTGTCAGCATTTTCGACAAAATGAAGTTTTTTCGGGTATACGAACATCGATTATGCTACAAATTTCATGTCAATTGTCATACAAGCATCGCTGTCTATTATACATAATTATAATTAAACTAGCATATTACCGCTACATGTTATGCTTCAGATACTCCGGTGCCGTGTCAAGCAAATATTTTACGTGTTTACGCCAGGTTTTTTTTTTGTTTTTCATAGAGGACAAACAAATTAGGAACAAAAGGAATAATTCGTATTTAATTTTAGACAAATGTTGCTTTTTCATTAATTAACTAGCAGACCCGACAGGCGTTGTCCTATAGACACGAAATCTGAAAACAACTTATAAATAAAAAAATCACAAAAATGTTGACAGTGAAACTAAACCATTCTCGAATCGACCTGAAGACACACAAAATTTCCTTAAAATCGGTCCAGCTGTTTAGGAGGAGGTCAGTGTCAAACACGTACACAAATATTATAAATATAAAGATGAAAAAATATTGTAACAATTCCAGGTGTTTAACAAAATATTTATCATTTAAAAATTTAATGGCTAAAACTGAATTCGCAGTAAATATTATTCCTTGCTAAAATAAACGCCCGATTTCATAATTTCGCTATTTATTATTAAACTCAGACAATTAACAATATTGAAAAGTTATAAATATGATAAACGTTTGAAGATATTGAATTAAAATCTATTACTGTTATATAATATGAATTATGTTCATACACACCTGGGATGGTCCATTGATGACAGGTCCTACTTCAGTAGACGACGTATGCCGTCATACCCTACGAGGAAAAGGTTGTTAAATCTGGATGTTCTCGAGTCGGTATTGCTTTGGTTGATGCTTTAACAATATTAGAACAGACAGAGAACATTATTCAGTATAGATAAAGATAAAGGCTGACATTGAGACCTAGATATGCTAAAATAAAATCCACGAAATTAACTAGCGTTCAAAGAAAAAAAAATGGATTCACTGGGAATTGTGACGCCCACATAAACTAAAGAATAGCTAGAGCTCCATAAATTTAAATGAGCAAGATATTGGGCAGTGCCAAAATGTGTAATTTAATTTTTATAACACATTTCTGATGCTCAATCTCGGTTAGTTTCCAACATACTCGTACCTTTGTAGTTTCGTTTCTCGCAATTTTTGATCAGGTGTTCAGAGAGTTGCATTTTTATTTCAAGGTAAACTAAAATTAATTCAAATATTTCGTGGGTTAGAACATCTATCTAACCCACGAAGCAGTACGTTTCTCTTCTTTATTCTGTAAACGCTGTCAAAATATTTACTTTCTTCAAAACATATTGACCAGCCGGGTACATTAATTACGTTGTCAAAATAAACTTTGTTTTCTTTATTCTGTAATTTTCTATCTCATTTTGAAAGAGAATTTCTTCAGCTAAATAATGGAAATTTTATATGAACTTGACGTTTGACACCGGCTCTTATTCATGACTTGTTTCATAAACTAGTACCTATAATTCATCAGATTAAACAAGAAGAAATAGATTTTTCTAATGTAGAGCAAATCAACAATATTTGAAGTGTGTATTTGAAAACTTTATTGTGGCCTTGGAAGCGATCTAATGTTCGACTTTAATTTTAAAATTGGAGTTCAAATTTGAGACACTGTAAGTTCGAGTAAAGATATAAATATTAAATAAGTCGTCATCATCCTTCATTATCCCAACAAGGTAGAGTCAGCACAACATGTGAATCATATCGTTAGCAGTTAGGTTTTTACGAACGGCCGCCTGCCTGACGCTAACCCTTCTTGGGGTTGACAAACACCTAGATCTGGAACAATTATCTGTTGGTCACACAAATGCTTGTCCATGTGGGGTTCGAACCCGCGGTCTCTGTCGTCGAAACTATTACCTACGTGATTATAAACTGCGCCACCGAGTCAAGCAACGAGAAAATTACACTGGTAATGAGATTTGTATCATGTTACATTAATTTCGCTTCGGGTATAGGGAAAATGTTCCAAAACATTTTTATTACACTGAGTTTATTTATTTTTGCATCGGATCAGCTCAAACAAACGTTAAGTTCAATTTCTTGATGTTTCACTAGTAGTAGAATCTTATCGTTTAGACGAGCAATTCTTATATATATAATCGGAATCTCGGAAACGGCTCCAGCGATTTTCATGAAATTTAGTATATGCGTAGATTCGGGGGCGAAAAATCGATCTAGCTAGGTTTCATTTTTATATTGAATATGACGCTAAATTTCACCGCAAAAAAAATGTTATAATAGCTCGGTCGGTAATCGGTCGGCCCCAAAACAGACGGCCGTGGTTCGTATCACGATCATTTACACACTTATTTTTTTACTTTTTTTTCGATTCCAGATCATTGCTTTCTTTATTTTTTGTCGATTTGTTATTTTGTTATTTTTTTCCCTTTTTTTTAAATTATTTGTTTTGTGAAAATCACCAGTTCATATTTTCTTATTATTACGTCGGTAAGATCGAAAAATATTATGCATATTTCTTTTCTCAGTAATTTGTATCTATATGTAATAGTATGAGAGTAAAATTTCTACAATGCGCGCGCGCACCATCAACTAAAATGAAACATGATGATGAAAGCCAGCAACTTCATCACATCACTTTTACTCTGTTTCCATCTGGCCACCAATAACAAATTTTTGAATTTTACTTAACTATAATTCCATTTCACAACAACCGTTATCAATTGCATTTAATGAATTTTATGACAACATAGAGTTGTGGCACAGGGGATAAAATTTTTAGAAAATTTTTGTATTACACTAAAGAAGTATAAATTCTTACGTACGTACCTACATAAGTGCAAACATACTTTTTCATTTAACGACGATTTTAATGCAGAACACATATTAAATTAAATCGTTCTGTTATCATTGACGATGTTTCATCTATATCGACAGTGTATTATTTTTATAAAATTATTGTTTTACATAACTTGATTTTTTTCATTATTAACAAAAAAGGTACATAGCCTATTAAAAAACACAGTAATGTATTAAAATTAATGTATAATAACCAAATACCTCCATTTCATATGACGCTATACTCAACATCTATATTAAATACCTAGTATTTTTAAACAATTATGTGGTTTACGTTTAAATCCTGAAGTACAATTTGTGTTTATTCTTGTTTTATTGCTTTATTGCAGTATTTAGTTCATCAAAATATATTTTAAGAACTTTATTAAGTATTACAATCACAAATATTTTACACTCAACCTATTATAAAATAACAATTACTCTTAACTTCAGTCTCATCGTCCGTCGTTAAATTTCCATAGATTTTTGAGTAAAGCCATAAGAAATATTAAGAGATATATTAATGTAGCTATTCCGATATTTATAAAACTTTCCATTTAATTTGGGTAAAGAGAGAAAAGTACAAGTGACAGCCTATAGGTGGTGCAGATATCACCAGATGGTGGGCGCGGAAACTTACAGAAGCCATTGCCGTATAGCCGACAGGAGTCCTATTTTCGGTGCCACGATCGAGAGAAAGTGATATGACAATTGAGACTGACTATTCCTCAACCTTCCTTCGTCAGTCGAAGGAAAGTGGTGGACACTGTTGCGCCGGAGTGCAGGGGCGGGCGGCGCGCTTTCCGCTTTTCCCCGGCGCGTGAGTCAGAGCGGGGCGGACGCGAGGGAGCGCCGGGGAGCGCCGGGGAGCGCCGCGGAGCGCCGCGAGTACATTATATATAGTGGGCCAGTGTCGCACGCGCCGCCCGCGGCCTCGCATCGCTCGCCGCGCTCCGCCGCCTCGCCGCTTTGCCGCACCACGCGTCCGCTGGGCGCGTCGCGCGGGCCGCGGGCCAGGCCCGCGCGCCTGCTGCTGCTGGCCGCGTGGCTGGCGGCCGCCGCCGCCCAAGAGCCCGCCTGCCCGCGGGAGCCGCTCGTCTGCGCCACCTGCCGCTCGTACGAGAACGCGCGCGAGCACAGCCTGCGCGTCATCCGCGAGAGCCTCCTCGCCAAGCTCGGCTTCACGCAGGCGCCCAACACCACCGGCCGCGAGCTGCCCCGCGTACCCGCCGACCTCATGGAGCGCTACGAGCGCCGCCCACCGCCACCGGGCGTCCAGGCAGACGCGCCCGCGCCCTCCCGCGCCTTCGTCACCCACACCGAGCAGGACGACTTCCTCGCCCGCACCGACAACGTCCTCATATTTGCCCGTTAGTATTTCTACCTACGCCATAAGTGTTACGCGTAATGCGCCCGCTCGATCGTGCGGCAGAGCCAGGTTCGATGCCCCTAGATACAAGTAATGTGATGGAACAGTGAATCGTTTCAATTAAATCGTTGAATACCGAACGTGCATCCATGTTCAAGTTGCTATATTGCCCTGTTTTCAAATCAACCAATTGCTACGTTGATACCGTTTAAATGTGGTAAAAAGAAGAACGCGGCATAATCGCTTTGCACCTAGATTTTGCGTGTAGGAAATAGCGACGGTCAGCTTGTCGGCACCACGTGTGAACACTAGTCGCTGGGTATGGTCTACAAAGTTCATTGACAGGCACGTGTGCAGCTTATAAGTGGGTAACGTACTCTGTGATCGCATCACGCACCGCCAATTTTAATTAGCTAATGATAACTTCAAAACGTCGTATCATTGTCTATTCGACTATGTTGAGATTTCTATCGTGATCGCCACTGATGTCCATTGAATACTAAACATAAACGGATTTTAATCGTGTCAACTTATTTTTTTACTAGTAAAATACCTTTCTATTTAACACAATATTATTTTTTTTATTTAACTTCTGTCCCAATAAAAACTATAAGTCATTTGCTATTATGCGAAAACGGGGCTATCTAAGTTCAGGCAAATATGTGATCTGCCTAAAGCCAAGGGGCTTCGACCGCTCGAGATAACGTCAATTTTAATATCAACGCCAATACGCAAATAGAATTCATATAAAAACTAGTTTTATTTTAATATAAACAAATTATCAAAATATAATTAGAAGAATTCAAATACCATTTTAATCAGCAGTAATTGTTTTCTTAATTCGAAAGTATTGAAGACAAGAATTAGTAATGAATGAAAGTTCGCAATTTTAAAATAGTTATAACATAAGTTCAGTACCTATTTAGAAAAGTTTGTATCTGATGACCGTGAATTATTTCCTTATTTGCAAACATGTAATATATAACAATTCTCACGAACATCTTGTGACCTATATGACTATTTTTATTTTTAGCATATCAAAAGCGATAGTACACAGTAAGTAGTTCACATTATACGGTAATAAATGAAAGGAATAGGTAGAAGTTCGAGATATCGTAACGGGTCACTTGTCAATAGGTTCTTTAATAAATACTTATAACGTATCTTCCCATTCTTACATGATGCACGTTTGGTCATTATTAAAATTGTTCTTACTGTTTAAAATTTTATATAGTTATTATTATCACGACCCATTTTTATAATTTTTTTTACGTTTCTTTTACGCCCATCTGTGTGTTTTATGTGTGCGCTGTTTGTGAGTGTGTGAAATACGAATGCTTTGTTTTAATCTGGAATAGAAGATGAATGTTATATTGAACGACAACTTTATTCAGTCTGCTTGGAAGGCGTGTGGCCGCCACCACAGAGTCTTTTTGCGAGTTGAATAAAATTGTTTGATTAATTGGATTGAATGTTAATTTTGAAATAACGGCGATATAAAAATGCACGGTGCGTAAAATAAACTAATTTATTTAAAATAATTACTAAAGACATAAATAATGATACTATGTAAGTAACTGTTTACTGTAACGATTATCCACACATTTGTTATAAATGCCGTCACTCCGTAAGAACAATTTAAATTATAAATTATCCATGATAATTCTATTAATAATAAAAATATAAATATAATTATCCGTGTAACCAATATGTATGTATATAAATCCAAATGAGACCAATTACCTATCTGTTGTGTTATACTTTTGTTCACACTATTGTATGCTATGAATGCAGTTATTTGAAATACATAATTTATTGTATGAGGTAACTTAACTGATTTACTTATATATTTATGAGATATATAATATTATGTTGCGGTGTTGAACAGTTTTGTTATACATATTTATATAGTGCATACTTATATAAATTTGCCTTAAATATATGAACTATTTATAATATGCAAACAACACAAGCGTAAAGAACATTCAAAAATAGTCTTCTGTCGGTACAGCTTAGAATTATCATGTAGGCGTCTGATTCTCTGTCTGCGAGATCCTTCTCTACGAACACTGCCCCTCGATATTACAGGGTTGCCAAATTGTTTGTGTTGTAAATAATATGAATCACTTGACGTTCTAAGGTTTCACATTAATTATATATAATTGTTAAAAAGATAGTTCTAAAAACTTTGAGATAAAACATCCAACGCAGCTGAAATATGATAGAGAAATAAACCCTACTTAAAACTACTTTTCTTTAGAAAATAACTTCAGCATGTCTAATGTCCAGATAAAAAGAACTAATACAACTTATGAAATTGACAATTTTGGCAATAAATTTATTACTTTTGTAAATACTTCCAAATATAACAACCCTATATGTAATCGACGTGCAAACGTACCGCCTTCATATTACTGGGTGACACAATTCTTGTCACATTACCTAATAATCTCGACGGGTACTATAATAATTCCCGAATTCTGAAAGGTCATCATGTTGCCAACTGTTTAAAAAGCATATATCAATATTAAACATGAAAAGGGAACAAAAACGTAAATTGCTCGAAGAGGATTAGGCCTATTGGGGACACCTCTATAAAAAAAGCGCACCTAGGTTCTTACCTCCGAGGTGGTGTGGAAAAAGAGCCAAACAATATATATAATAAGATCATATGGAAATGTAATGATCACTGGTTAAGGCTAAAATATTTAATTTCAATTATTGGCTTAATCATAATAGTAATAAATCTTTTCCGTCAATCATTTTAAATAACACAAAATGTATTTTTATACAAGCCACTTCCTGCCAAAACATTAATTCAATAATCCAGAATTGGGTTATCGCAATGTTGCATCTAACGTCTACAAATATATTGAGATATATTGCTTATTAAGTTAATGCGGCTAATATCATTTTTATCACATTTCATAATTATTTATTTAACATTGGTTTATTGAACAAATATAGAAAGTCTTACACCGAAGTGACAAATGCATAATAATTTAATGTAGATGCGTAGGTGCAAAAGTACCAGAGTGAATTACTTGTCATTTTTATAAATAACATTTTCTTATCGTACGAAGCAAGGACGTGATACTATTGCGCGCATTCATAGCTGTTTTTTTTATTTACATGCCTACAGATATAAAACGGTAAGCTGTAATTTTCTCTCGACAATGACGTAATCGTTATATAAATTTTAAAAGTACGGTAGTGGCGTTTCTTATTACACCTGTTTTGACAAAATATCAGAGGCAATTCAATTTAAAATTTTAGTTCTTGTTTATCTTATGCGAAGCGATAAAAGCCGTGAGTCTAAGATCTGTATTTTAATTATTGCACACAAAATGGTCCGTGATCTGTAGATAACGGTAGCCGTGGAAACTGGCAGAGGCGTCTGGCGAGTGCGTGCGGGCCAGACGGCCATTTTGCAACGATCGATTGTTTTGGCTGCTCGCAGTCACCTTAATTGCTCGCGAATCAAGACGTCTAGAGCACATATGTGTATGAAGTACTGAAATTGGTATTAATTTTAACTTTTAGGTAACGAATTTCTATCTGAATAAAACACGAGCTTTGAGTTAAAAAAAATGTTAATATGTAAATAGAAATAAATTGTCTATAATTTATTTATTGATGCCAATATTCGAACTTGGGTCTTCTGGGTTACGCTCCCAGACGCTCGAAATCTTGAGCTAAGTGCCAGATATCTTAACGCCGCCATAATCTTTACATTTATCTATATTAGCAATCCTCTGTGCCACCTAGCAAACAGCTTTACATGCCGTCTCTTTCAAATAAAATATCACAATGAATATTTGAACGCCAGGAGCGAGTGAAAGTATCTTATGGCTATTACTCGTGTCATTTATATTGCAGTAGCTGTTCATACGCTCCAGACCACAAAGGGCGGTTGCGGATATCTCAAGCACCATACGAGGCGCATCCGCAAATTTTAAATAGAATCGCGTACGTGTACAAAGCGTTCGTGCAAAACCGTGGTGCAGCTGGACCCGCATAGCGCGACCACCCCTGTACCGTGCAAAACATCCGCATAACAGATATGCACTCTCCCTTGCTGCTAATTCAATAACGATCTGAATAAAGATTACTGTCATAGTTTCCCAGCGATGCTTTCATTTATCTCGTCTTTATAGGTTTGACGATTGAAGTTTAGTACCAAAGAGTTTGATATTTATTAAATGCGAAGTTGACTCCCAAAGGATTCTATGTCCCATGAAGCGTAAACCAACAAAGACATAATCAAAACTTTTTTAGACTACCTAATTTCGTTGTGAATATGTACTAAATTATATTTATTGTGTAAATAATGCATTGACATGACACATTACTTGTAGTTAAAGAGTAGTTAGTTACTTGATGATTTTTTTATTAAAGAAATTTTACTTCTTTTGGCGCGTTAGGGAAAGAATTTGAGAACATATTTTGACACATCATTAATAGTTTTTTTTTTTTAAAAATAAAACACTGCCCTTACTTTAGGATAATATTATCCTGTGTTGTAAAGGACGTTTTACAAACATAAATTTCACGCGGACAAACACCCAGATGCGAAACAACTATCTGTGGGTCACACAAAATACTTGTCCCGTGTGGGAGTCGAACCCACGACCCCCGACGCCGAAGCCAATACCTTGGCAACTGCGCCACGGAGTCATCATTTGATTACTAAGGTTTTTTGACTAATACAATTTTAATGTGAATATAATTTAAATTAAGAATTTTAAGAACAACTTAACATTGGCGGAATTGTGATAACTCACAAAGCAAGCCATTAATAAAAAAAGTAAGAATATATATCGGCTAACCGAATTATGCATGAATTGCATTATTTAAGTTATTGTATTAAGTGGAGATTGCAATACTTAAGAATACATTACTTATAACTGCCTATATAGGTAAAACTAGTAAATATTGATCAAATAATTCTGTTCATACTGTTCGGTTTTCACTTAATGTTTTGTTTTTGGACAATTTGATGTTTTTATGGGATGACAATGTGGTAAACGGGTAAAGACATAGCTATTATCGCCTCCCAAGAATATTTACAGGAGTCGTTCAAAGTTATAATTGCGTTGGAAACCGTTAAAAGGTTTTACCTCGGTTATCTTACTACCCAAAATATCTAATAGAAAAAGTGTTGTACTTTTCGCTAGTCTCCTATTGCACTTCCCCGATGTCTTAGCACTTCTCCGGATGTCCTTACCCATACAAGCGACAGTCAGGATGCTACCCATCTTTATCACAATCTAATAGCTATTTTTTATTATTTATTATTTTATTATTATATATATATTTTATTATTTGTAACGTGAATCTTTTTTTGTATTATTTGAAGCAATGACAGCATCGGAAACGGTAATGTAGGAAAGACTAAATCTTTATAGAATATAAGTTTTACTTTTTCATGTTGTACAAATTAATTACTTTATCGCTTTTATCATTTTTGCAAAAAAGTTCAAAAAAGTACATTATATATTGTATTAAGTTCATACTATGGTGATACATATACTTTTATATACATTAAAATATATTAACATTTTTGACAAAGATAATAAATAGGTAACAGAAACAAAATTGGTTTAATAAAGAAATCTATTTCGTTTAAGTTGGATTAGAAGATTTAACATTTCTCTTAATTTATATGCTCCTTATTTAATTATTATAAATGTTTTTTAGACTATTATTATTTAATTCTATAAATTTAAATATTAAGATACCAGAAATAACAGAAAGAAAGGAGCCATTTTAGTGCACACGTACAATAACAGCTTGGGGATGGAAAATTAGGAAACAAGAAGAAGGAAAATGAATTAAATTTTGAAAGACAATAACCTTTGCAACTTTGTCAGAATTTGGTATCTATTATACGTGAAAATATTTGGTTTTATCACTTGACTTATCACGTGCTTGCTTAGCGGTGAAGGAAAAACACTGTGAAGAAAATATATATTTTCCTAAGAATAACCAAAAATATATAGTTCAGTTTTTAAGTTTTTTTATTTTTTTATGTGAAAAGTTGCCAAGCGAGCAGACGGTTCACCTGATGTTAAGTGAATACCGCCGCCCATGGACATCTGCTACAGCCGAAGATTGCAGATGTGGCCGGAGCCCGATTTCCAAAGGGTTGTCACCTTTGGAAATCGGGCTCCGGCCACATCACTCACCAGACGAAACGCGAAAGTATTATACTTCCACTTTATGCCGGTCTTCTGTGAGGTCGTGGTACTTACCCCGACGAGCCTGCCCATTCGAAGCATGCCCACCGTTAAGTAAGCTTACTTTATTTATATTATAGAAATGTTTTATTAATTTTATCACCTATTTAGTTTTAATTAAGTTAGATTATCATAGTTTTGTAGCATATGTAAGATATTTTTAGAGCAGACATGAGAAAAAATATAATATGTGAAGTTGGCCAAACCCCGTGGTCAACTTTGTACATGCCATGCCCTTTGTACATGCGCCTTCACCCAGCAGTGTATACTATAGGCTGTTACTTTCCTTTTTTTACTTTATTGTCACAGTCATCTTATCTCTTGGAGTTACAAAAAGACATTACCTATATAAGTTAAACGGATTTATTTAGAAGCGTAATAGCAAACATAAGTTTTTGGGATTTTGTTATAATCTTAAATTCCAAATGCATTCTATGAATTTTTAACTTTCAAATATAGGACACATTAGAAAAGTTAAAAGCCCCTTAAATTATCTGTTAAAAATGACATCGATAAACTCCGTCTTAATTTATCATTTTCCGTGTAAATTGTGATGAGACGGGACGGCTATTTACGAGTTTATTTAACAGTTTTGAGACTTCGTTTAACTATGCAAACAACTGCAGGCACCTTGGCACCAGAGGTTGTTAACCGGGACATTAGACGGAGCACAATTGAGGCCAGTGTGTGAGCGAGTTCAAGATCAATTTAGGTTCCGTAGGTCAGTTCGCCGAAGGTAACCTTGACATTGACGACAATAGTACGACCCGGGACTCTTGTACTGGGAGAACTATAAGTACATAAAAACACACACAGCTTAAATAATTAGGGGAGTATTAGAAAGGGAGAGCAGTGGGCCGGCTTTATTATTCAAATAACTCGTTATTTCGAAATCGAGCATTAATTTGCCAAAAAAATTTAAATAGTCAAAGGCTAAAAATAAATGACATTGCCTATTATAGAGGTAAACCTAGGATTAATGCAGAAAAGCGCCTCAGTAATTAACGTTCTTAATTATTATAATGACTGAACTGGTATTGATTTCATTTAATCGTAAGACAAACAATTTTTTACTGTTCCGATCATTAAGGACTCAAAAGAGCAATGACTAACAATTTATTGCGTCTCCTTTCCGGAGACGTGCACATTTGTTGAAAATAGCACAGTCGTAAAAGCGCTGCGACGAATTTCCAGGACACAGGACAGGAAAGTCAGACAGAAAAAAAGGATCGGTTAGTAAATTAAGTGGACGGAGACGTTGCGGTCGGTCGATGTCTTTTTCGCTTAGGGCTGTTTTATTTTATTAAGCCGTAAGCGTTAAGGGCGTAGTTAATTTTTTATTATGTATTCAAATTTACGGCGACATAATATCTTTTGTTTTCCCGACGCTACTTTATGTATTTAAAATAGTTTTATGAAAAAAGTCATGTTAAATCGTAACAAACTAAACAAAGACATGAAATACCATATATAAACATATTGTTTAATAACAATGTAAGTATATTTATAGTTATAAATAAAATATTTTTCTCGTCTAAATCTTTTTAAAGATAATTTTTCTCCTTATTGTTTACTATTAATGTACCCGTATTGCAAATCCGTTGCTTTTTTTGACACATCCCTGAAAACCAAAAGAAAAAGAGGATGTCGTGATAAGACGTGATTGCTGATTGCAATATATTATGTACTTACTGCATCAATGCAGCCAGGACGTCGATTTCAATTTGACCACATCCTGCCTGCTTTCTCAAGATATCTTATTATTGCTGCGAAGATGGGTAATTTGTCGAATCGCCTGTGGGATTATTAGGTTAATTTGTCAAGTTATGACTTTATTCGAACATATTCACGTCTATCTAAGTATTGCCTTGTAAAATAACCATATACGATCATTTCAATATCCATTACAAACGTTGATAGAGATTTTTGAAATTGCGTTATTTTTATTCCCATATAAAACTGTGAATGATAATAATTTTGTAGCACATAATATTCTAATTACTATTTATATCAATATATCAAAACTATATTTAGCATTAAAAATATATAATTCGAGTCTAATGCACAGTTTACGTAATTTTTATTCAAATTAAATTCGTTAAAAATAATAGTAAAATTAAACTATTTTTTGCAATTAATAAATATCTTTAGTCTTTGTAAAATGTTTATAATTTTTACATACTTTTACATGGAACACGTTTCAAGATACTTTATTAGCTTAACATGCATCAGGTAATGCATAATGATATAACAGTGTAATAAAAAGTTTTAATTCATCTTCACCATTTTCCAGAGTTCTTAATATTTCTAAATTTTGCACAAATATGCAAAATCGATGACAATACAATGATTAAATAAATATGAACTACAGTTAGGATCGAGAACTCATATAAATAAAGGTCGTTTAGAGAGCGAGTTCTTTAATTCTTTAGTTGGGTTTTTTTAATTGTACATAGGGCAAGCTGTAATCGAATCTTATCTTTAATAATAAAACTGGGACATCTCTAAGGACCCAGTGTCATGTTCTAGAAACACCTACATCGACCGTGACCCACATAAGTCACGGACGATGTAGGTGTTTCATCCAATTCACTGTCACAACATCACATCTATAACAAGGGTTTTTGTCTTTATAAATAACGTGTTTGTTATTACCTATACCGGCTAATTTTTACGTAAAAAAAAACACAACTCCTATTTATTAAGTAGTTTTTAACAATAATTTATTGAACCACTTAACGGCAAGAAAAATATTCTATGTAGTAAATACCCAAAAATA